ACAGCCTTCGAAATGCTCCCACCAAACCATTCCTTCCCTTCACGCCTTCCATCCAAAAACATTCCTGTTTCTGAGTTCATGAGCCTGCTTCAAGTGGTGGCATAGTGGATCTAGTGATAAATGGTCAATGACTGGTCAAAAAAACAGGAGAAAGTGAAGTCAAGAAGTGTAATAATTTGTTTGATTGGAGGTGAAAACCCATCTTATTGGCTACCATTGTTAACTCCTATGTAACAGCTTATTATGGCAGTGAGTCATAACAGCAATGAACCTTTTGTCAAAGTTAATACTCCTTCTGTGATGTTTATTTTGAAGAGTCTTTTGGCAACCCTGGCTTATTTCTCATCATGCCATGAGTTAACTACTGCATAGAATCTTCATTTCAAAGGGCTTCTAGTGTTCGCCTTTTGTTGATTCAGATGTTCATCATATTGTATCCCGTTTAAAATTTAGCTCTAATGACGGGTGTTGTTAACCCAGTCTTTAAAGCAGGTCTTTAAAACTGGCTCACATTCCAAAAAGATCAGACCTCATGGGAGGGAATCGCGCGAAAAACGTCTGGATGAGTTGTGTCGAACCCCAGCCGGCCAGTTCCGTGTCTCGGTTATAGATGAGAGTGGCGGCTTTTGCCATTTCAAACAATTATATATCTTGTAGTGCTTCTGTTAGGACACTGAGCAGAGATATAGACTTCTTTTAACAAGAGGCCAATGTACTCAAAGTGCCTGACGGGTTAAGACGAGGAGAGGTGAGAAAATGATGAGTGTAACTTCCAGCTCCAGTAATAATACTAGTGTTTCAGTAGCAAACCAGTGAAAGTGTTTAAGTGTAAAAGTAAGCAAGTTAAATCATGTCGTTCAAGCCAGGTTGATGTATACCTGAAACCTGTAACCAATGAATTACATTTCAAAACAGAGCTTTATTGTCTGTTCGAGGGGATCCAATTTTTGTGTTTTGCAAGGAACTGACGGACAACTAATTTGAACTGTTATCTTTTTAAATTGATTTGAATTCAATTCAAATTTAAAATTGTATTTCTTTGACATAATTTGAATTTCATTCACATTTTAATTTTTATCTCTTTAAATTGTTTAAGCTTGCTTTTGAAAAACTAATGTACTTTGTACATAAGTTTTCCATGGATTATGCCTAGACTATCAAGGCATGTATCAATGGAAAATTATACTTCTAGTCTAAAATACACTATATACATTGTAATTTCAACTCAGACTGGTCTTAATTCTTGCCCGGAAGACTGACCACACGATATCTCATAGGCAGCTTTTGTGCCAGTTGCTACACTAATGTACTAATGGAAACATGTCTTGGCATCAAACTGCAACTGCAGGGCATTTTGTTTTTATGTGTCATCAACCAGTTCAAAAGGATAAAGTAAATTTAATAAGGCCATTAATTACGAAATAGACAGTTAATAAGACACAATATTGGACACACACATATCTTACAAGATTAGGCAAGAGTTTTATGAAGTCATCAAATGAAACAAATGAAACAGTAGAATTTGGACTGCTGCATTGGGGCGTTTTTGAAGAAGACTTGCTGTTTGCTCCACAAAATACATAAATATGATGTTATTTCTAGGACACAAAATAAATAAACTGAAAGAAAAAGAAAGATGAGGGAAGTCTGCTGTATTTGTTGTAGTTTAGATGTATCAGACTCAGGTCCTGCAGGGCCACAGCTCTATAGAGATTTGCATTTTTCCTCTTTTAACAGACTAAATTTAACTCTGGATAGCCATGCTAATTATCCAATAGTGGTTGATCTAGGTGTGTTTATTGAGGTTGAATGATAAACTCTGTGGTGCTGTGGCTCTCTTGTACTGGAGTCTGCCAGCTGAGCTCTAGTTGTTGTAAAACCAATCATGAGCCAATCCTGCTGGCTTATTGGGACTGAGCTATACATAACCAGTTCTCTCATTTAAAAAAAACTGCACATTTAAAAGTCTGTTTACAGCAGGTTGTGGTTCAGCCTGGATTTCGATTCCATTTTCATGGGAGTTTAAATCTCTCTGGATGATATGTCTGCAAGGAAATCAGATCTAGAAATGTATAGAAACAAACTTCCCACAGAATGCTCATTCATGAGGCCATGCAGTTCTCTCAGTTCACACATCTGCCTCTGAACACTCTCCCCATTTTTGCATTTGGTCCAGAACTTCATGTTGGATTTTTTCTCCCTCCATTGCATTCTCTGGTCACTTTCAAATTGAATTGGGGTTGGGCTGCCTCAAAAACGGAGGATAATCTCTTAGAGGTCCTTTACGGTGGGGGGTGAGGCCTAGGAGCTACCATTCACTTTTTTTTACAAAGTTGCAGCTGGATCTCAAAGCACTTTTATACAAAGCTGAATGTTTTGCAGGCAGATCCTTCGGGTCCTCGGGTTGGTTGCGGAATTCTTGCCTCCCACTGTTCCAAGTCCTTTTTCCCCTGAAGGGGCCCCTACCATAACTGCCAGGCACCCCGAGCTTGGGCCCGTTTGCAAATTGACCCTGACAAAACTGGCTGGGGGTGAAGAACCTGCTGCATTTTGGAAATTAAACAACTGCACATCCGGTTCTCAGGTCCTTCCCGTGCGCTCATGTATTACCTAGTTTGCAGAGTATATTTTTTCCACTTCTGTTTAAATGGGCCTTAGTCAAAAAAATCGTCTCATTTGCAAGTCGACCAATGTCACACGCACCTGCACTGCTGAATGCTGTTTTGGGGCTATTATTCACTGTACAAAACAGTGGAGGTTTCTGTGCCCTGCATTGAACTGGGACGGCCATTCTATCCTAACTTTGCTGAAAATGAGAACGTGTCATTTTTGCTAATGCACAGGTTCATTTTAGTAATTTAGTGCAAAATATGCAATATGTGTAATATGAGGATGTTAGGGTTATTGTAAAGTTCTTTCCTTTGTACTTTGCCACAGAATAACTTCAGTGTGCAGTCTGATTCTATTACATCCGGAAGCAGAATTCACTGGTTAGCATAAACCAGTCCTGGTGCGACATGCATCATCAGTTTGATGCATAGGTTCAAAATGTCTGGACTTCATGGGTAAGGTGTAATCTGATTCACATGGATACTTAATTTTTATGATCAAAAAATATCATCAACAATTATGCTGAAGCTGATAACAATAGGAGCCATATATTCCCTGGTGAAGGACCCTGCTAAAATGTATTCCATGATTAATCTGAGGAGCAGGGGGGGAGTCACTTCATGAACTCTGTCCCCTCGACTGCTTCACACAATGTATTCTCCGCTGTGATCGGTCCCTTTTGTTAATCTAATGTATGGGCATTTCCAGCAGGGAGAGAAGCGCAGTCAGTGAGACACTGTGACGCAGCAGAATGGCCTGACAACTGCAAATGTTGCATGTATTAGTAGCTGCATTGTTCATAAGAGGATGAGTCTCATTTGTGCTGCTTATTACAGAACTCTTCCATAGAACAGATACACTGAAACAGGCTTAGACATTAAAATCATGGCATATAATGATACTTTTATGCTGATGGTGACCATGTAGTTTTACTGCCATTGTAAAGCTGAAAGCCTAATGTACCAATGTGAAAATGCATTACTCAAAACCTGCAACAGAAATGTAGTAAGCCATATACAAATGGCTGTAAAGCAATAGCTCGTTACATGTTTGAGATAGATCCTCTCCCAAAGTCAAGTCAAGTCAAGTCAGCTTTATTGTCAATACTACAATATGTACAGGACATACAGAGTATTGAAATTGCATTACTCTCAGACCCCATGGTGTAGCAATAACATTAAATAGACAGCAAACAGGAAATGTGTGAATTAAATAGACACTAAGTAAACACTAAACACTAACCGTAAAAATAAACACTAATTGTAGAAAAAAAGAATTTAAAAAATAAATAAAATACATAATATAAATATAAGAAGGTCCCTGAATTTAACAATAAAGTGGCATAAGTGACATAAGGCACATACAGACTAATAACTGGACTAATAATAAGGGTGAGTAGGGATTAGTTGGACAAATCCCTAAAACCCAGATTAAAATGTGTTCTACAAAAGCTAAAACTGTTTAGTTTTATTGCACCTGCAGCATATATAACATTGTTACTGTAAAGAGAAACACACAAATAGGATTTAGTAGCACATATGTCCCTCATTAACCCCAATTCCCAGCTCAAACTCGCATACCTTTCTTAAACAGAGATCATTTTGTTTTAATTATAATATATGTCCTTAATGATATACAGTAAGAGCACATCCGAGGCATTTCACACACCAATAAATTACAAATTTAGTTATTTAAATTTTCTTTTCATCTTTTCACCAACCCAGGTTCAGTTCTCAGTTTAGGTTTAACATGCAAAAATGAACCAAGACTGTGAGTTATGTATGTAATACATGTGTTATGGTCCCAATTCAATTAAAATGCACCTTAAAACTTAAATGCTGAAGAATTCTTTTAAGAAAACTGTAGACTATGGCAGGTCTGCCTGAAATTTTCACTTAAGTTTGCTTGGAACAAAAGTAAAAAAATCAATAAATACAAAATAATAATAAAAACAACATCAATAATAATAATAATAATAATAATAATAATAATAATAATAAATAGATACATATATAAGTAAAAATAGTACTGTACCTCTAACACCTAAAATCAATGAATAAATGTAGTCTAATAAATAAAGCCCATTTATCTAGATAATGGATAAAGATAGGTATTATGTAATACCTAATGCATAAAAATACTGAATATCAAAATTGCATAATACCCACAAACTATTAAACTAGATGAATCATAAGAGTTTGTAATATTTTTTTTGGTACATGGGCAGTGTTTCAGAAGCTCTTCTTCCACATGTGGTGCAGGTGTGTGTGTCCTATGTTTAAGTGTGTATGTGTCCGTATGTGTCCACTACGGTCTTCCCCAGTGGGCGGGGACCGCGTGACGTCACATCACAGCAAACCGATAAAACGTTTAGCGCGTTAGTTTGATCTTCGAAAAAAAAATAAATAAATAAAGAATATATTTAAAAGCCCCGATGAAGTGTGCAAAGGGATCGGAGGCACAAGGGGAACATAAAGCCTGGGAACACGCAAGGAAAGAGGAGTTTTACGCATAGACCGGTGATCTTTAAAAGAAAAAAAAAGAATCTTTTCATTTCGCCTCGTTCAACTCACGGTTTCCAGCAGACCGTTTTTCTGCTGTCACGCGCTTCAGAAGACAAACCCTGCGATGACAGAGAGGAGCCGTTTGTCACTGTCAGGTGGTGGACACTGGAAAACCGGCTAATTTGTTAAAAAATTAAGTGGACTTTCCACAGATTTTAGCTAGCTGTGCTGTTAAATAAAGAAAAATAAAGAAAGACTCAACAGACGCGCACGTTGGTACCACCACGGACGAACCGACCACGGGCTCAGAGAGGCAAGTGGCGAGACCTCAGATAACCTTCACCAAAGTTTTTATCTAACCTCACAAGTGGTGTTATTAGAATCGACAGAAACCTGTCAGACTGCGTGTCCAGTTACATCACGAACACTGACTGTATGGAGTAGTTCGCTTCATGGTATTTAAGGTTAGTGTTCAGTGTTACCTCAGCAGGTCACTTTGTTTTCGCGCGCAAATGAGCGTCAAAGTTATATTTGTCTTTCCTGTGCCTTTGGAGAAATCGTGCTAACACCACAACAGGCTTCTACAAGACTTTTTTTCTCTCAAGATGAATGAAGAAGGTGCACAGTGATGTCCCGGTAACAGGAACAGCTCTGTTTTAACTTTAGGCACTCCAAAACATACGGACGAAAGCAAAGTATATGTTGAAAACTCTAGGCTGTTTTGGCTGGTCAATGAGGCGACTAGTTGAAAAGTACAGTAATCGACTGCATATAGGCTAATCGAGTCGTATAGGCTACATCACTTTCATGCACTGGTAATTCCTGTTCCTGTAGTTGTTTTTTGTGTGACTTGGATGGAGTTGAGAAAGAAAAAGAAATATACAGACAATAATACGGAGTTAATTTTTTTCTTAACCCGCATTTTACGAATAATAAAGATGAACAATACCGTTTTCTCATCACGGTGATGTTAGCGTAACAACGGCCAATAATAGCGGGGCCACCAGGCTGTATTTACGCCCTAATGTACCTACTTGGTGACAGTAGGTCTTGTGGGAAGTTTTGACTGGAGTTATATCGGTGTCACGCGTTGTTATTGCTGCTTTTCATTCCTTTTGCTGCTACTAATTGTCGTTTAGTCTTTGGAAACGACAAAAGAAATAAAAACGTGAGCCAATTCTCAAACTGATCATATCGATCGATTAGTACACGTTGTGTGAGGTTCATAGATGTGAGGATGTTTTTCAGACTACTGGCTGTTGTTCTCATAATATTCCACACGTGGCTGCTAAACTCGGCTAAGTCCGACCATATTCAGCGGTATAAGCGGAGTCTGTCTCAGCGGGCGGACAGGTCTCAGGCCGCTTTAGGGCAGGAGCAGTGCGGCTCCGTGAGCCGAAGACGACCGTACAGATCCGCGGTCCGACACCACCAACTAGCGGCCGTAACAGGTCGGTACAGCCGGCTGCCGGACCTTCATCACAGGATTGCGAGGTCCTCCTGCTCAGGGGGGTGCAGTTTGGATGGAAGTGATGCCTTTGGACTGCGCGATGGGCCTCCGTGGGAGAGCAGCGGTCAAAAAAGTCAGGACAAATCAGAACGTGAGCCTGACAAATGGAATGGTGAAAGGAGGCCACGTTTGAGAACAGACAAAATGCTGGACTCTTTTGAACCTGGATCCGCCTCTGCTGAGGCAAGAGCCGTGGCTTGGGATGGCAATATGTCAAACAGAAGAGTCCGCAGGTCGTCCCAATTGAAGGAAAAGCAGGATGGTCGGATGGACCGCTTCTCTTCAGTGAGAAGGGTTCCTCGCAGTCCACCAGAAATCCGCAGTAAAAGAAAGGAGCATCCAGGTGACGTGGCATTTGAGCAGGACATCCGCACTTCTGAGGGGAGTGAGGACTACTCGGGGGAGCAGGAGGGCCAGGTCAGCCCAGGTGCAGAGCCGTGGGGGGCAGAGGTCCGAGATGTCCCTCCAAAGTGGATGACGGCCCTGTACTTCAGAGGTCAGAGAGAGCAGCTTAAGGTGAACCCCACAGCTGACGTGGAACTCCCACGCTCTAGGTTCACCTTGGAACTGTGGATCAAGCCAGAGGGAGGTCAGAACAATCCGGCCGTTATAGCAGGTTGGTATTTGTGTCGCAGTTTCAGACTCATTCATTTATGTGGTACAGTTGAGCTTTTCGTATCTATGCGACTGTAAATAGTGCTTTGCTGGCATCACTGTGAAGAAACAGCATTTAGGCATTCGTAATTTATTGAGAAAGTGTTATCACTTTAAACGTCTCAATAGCAATCAAGACGTTCAGAAGCAAGAAAAAACTTTTCAATGTAGATTGCATGTTTTGTTCCATGACATGAAAAAAACGTCAGAATCTGATCAGAATTTCAGTTGCAAATTTGTACGTTAAGTTACTCTATGTATCGCCTCACCCACTGGAATGTAGTCTGTGTCACATTGCATGCACACACCAATGAGTCACTCTGGATCCGCTTTCTTGGAGGCCATGGAGAGATTATGCTGAGTAAGAGTGATTGGGGGGAAATCTAATGCTTATGATGTGCAAATGACAAGGGCAGCTCTGGGTGGGGTGCTCCAGAGGCAAGTGGCCACCACCTGCTTTTTGTCTCTTAGGGGTTTTCTTCGATTCCACGTGTAGAAGGCGCTTTCCCAGACAGCTCTGGGTTTTGATTAAAGGGGTGTGTATGATCCGGACACTATGCTCATGTTGACAGCTAGCTGCTGTCCAGCTCTGACACTAGAATCACTTGATTTATTTGAAGCATTGATTTTTTTTGTGCACCTATTGCTGCCGCCACAAATAAATAAATAAATAAATAAAGTCTTCTTGAAACATAGCCCAGGAACATAGCAGAATGTGCTGGAGTCCTCTGGGGAGCATTTATAATCAGGTAAAAGTGCATTTGGTATGGCTGCTGAAGAGGTTCAATGTGGAAAAGATTATATCTGGAAGAGCTTCTGAAAGGAAACAAAAGAGAAGGCCAGAATTCTGCGGTTGTAGCCAGGGTTCTATGGTTGTTGTCTGCTGAGGAGATGCCAGTGAGAATGTTTTGGAGGAGGAGACATTTACTGACAAATACCTGCTATCTGTTAGAAACCTAAAAAATTGAGCTTTGTATATAAATATTCATGTTTCATTTCTGTACAATTTTTTCTCACACTTGCCTGTCTTGTGCCTTGTATTTACTGTAATTGTGTGACTTTCTTAAGTTAACTGCCAAGTGTTTTTATGATGCACTTTATTTGAAATCCCTCCTTTAAAGATCCACCTTTCCTGCTGTTCAGAGGTCTGTTGTCCATTTTTTAATGCACAATTTATGATAGCGATTTTCTGACACTTCATCAGTGGTCAGCTTCTGACCACAGAGCTGATCTTGGCTGGGTTTTTTTGGGCAGCGGACCACTCAACTTAGCAGTGACACTGACGTTTACTTGATGCACTTGTACCAGCACCACACAGACTACCATTTCAGTGTCATTGCTGGGTTGAGAATGGTCCACCACTCAAATAACATCTGCTAAGCAACAGTCCTGTGGTCAGAAACTGACCAGTGATGAATGAGGTAGAGGACAGCAACAAATTGGGCATCAGCAGATGCGCTGTAGTTTGTAATAGTACACCTATATAGTGGACCTCTAAGGTAAGTGGGTCTCATGAAATGGCCAGTGGGTGGAGGTACAAGGTAGGTGTTTCTAATAAAGTGAATTGTAAATGTAATGAGACTGGGGCTTTCATATACATATCGTCTATATAATGAAATCAGCATTACACTAAGCCTCATTCCCCAACCGTTCTTAAGAAGAAATTTCTTCTCAAAGCCCACTTACAGTTTTCATGAAGATTCTGACAGTCAACAATGTTTTCTTATTTGGCATTTGTTCTCAAGTAAGAACAGAATCTACACACACTCAAAAGCACAAAGGTGGAAACAGTTCTGTGATCTAAGAACACATCATAAATATGATGTAGACTTTTTCTTAGGACCTTTCTGACGAATAAATTTTAGAAAAGACTTAGGAAGATATTGGTGAATGAGGCCCAATGATCCTACTGGTAAAATACAAGATTATTAGTTATTTTGCCTGTGACCCACTTATGGTCTAGAGGTGAGTAAAGGGGCACTAAGAGAACAGAAATCCCAATAGCAAGGCAAAACATACTTTGCAGATTACTTAACTCAGATCCAGATAACTTAACTCAATAGTGTATATTTAATGCATAGTATATACAAATATAAAGTTGCTGACACTTTTGGATATTATCGTCATCAGAACCTTGTATCTCCATTTTTTTTATTTTTTATGTTTTATAGAATTTGAAAATGCTAGCTAGGCTTTACAACTCAGTACATCAACTGCCATTCAAAGGTAGAAACTTTTTTTTTCTCCTGTAAAGTTACTATTTTGGAGATACAAGGTTTTGTTGCAACAGCTTCAATATAATAAACATAGCCCATCCCCAGAGGGACAGACAGAAACATACACACGTAGAAGATTACACTGCCCGAGCCTCGGCTTCTGAGTGAATGAAATGGTTCGGCTTGTATCTGGCCGATGTCCTGTGGGATAATTTGTTTAAAATTGCCCATTTTTCTTTTTCCAGTATCCAGGGACCAAGGCGTCTGTGTGTACATGTGTGTGCGTGCGCATGTGGGGAGGGTGAAGGGGTTCCCTGACCTTTCTGTGTCCTTCTCTTGGAACATCTGGCTGCCAGATGTGACTGCTTCTTTTGAAAAGCAGCTGGGAATACCGGTGGCTTTGTTTAACGGCAAAGACTTAAACTCTTCAACTCTTTTGGGTAATTTCAATCACAAAAGCTCGGCCACCTGATTAGTCTTCACGTGTGCTAACTCATTGTGTTTCTGCTCCTTTTTTTCAAAAGGTGTGTTTGACAACTGCTCCCATGCACACAGTGAAAGAGGGTGGTCTGTCGGAGTCCGGACGGTTGAGCCCACAAGGAGAAAGGATGGCAGGTTTTTCTTTGCCCTCCGCACGGACCGTGCACTCAAATCCACAACTCTCACAGGGCACCAGTTCTACCAGCCCAGCATCTGGACTCATTTGGTAGCTAGATATGATGGCCACCGGATGGCACTGTTCATAGATGGCTCAAAGATTGCAGAGAGTAGACAGCAGTCAGGTGACTTATATAGCCCCTTTATCAAGGATTGTCGTGTGCTTTTGCTCGGAGGGGATCAGTCGAATACAGGCCATGGTTTTCGGGGTTACATAGGAGGTGTTATTCTGTGGAATCATGCGCGAGCTCGGGAGGAGCTGTTTAAAAGCTTCTTTAAACACTCTGAACACCAGCGCCCCCTCTTGGCCTTATGGGCTGACTTTTCTGATGTGAAGCAGCAATGGATACCATACAAAGACCACCATCATCCAACCATTGTGGCCTTTCCTGCCCCTGAGCAAGAGTTGGTGTCCCCTTTCCTGCCTCCACCTTGTGGGGTGACCACTTGCGACAATCCAGATGTTGTCCTCAGCTACAACCAGCACTGGCAGCTGCGGGCTCGCAAACGACTGCGCTACCGCGTGGTGAACATTTGTGCTGATGACGGCAGCCATCCCACCGTTTCACAGCAGCAGATCCAGCAGCAGCACAAGGCCTTGGAAGAAGCTTTCCAGCCATACAACCTGACACTGGAGCTCAGTGTGCTCACAGTACACAACTCCTCACTGCAGCGCCGCTTCATCCTCAGCAACTGCCACATTGCCAAAGTGGGCAATCGCCACTGTGACCACGAGTGTGACCACCCGGTAACGGGCCATGATGGCGGCGACTGCCTGCGTCTAGGAACGTGCTACAACTGGATGAGGGGCGATGGTGTCTGTAATCCTGAGTGCAATGGTATCCACTATGACTATGATGATGGAGACTGCTGCGATCCACAGGTCACTGATGTCACAAGGACCTGCTTTGACCCTGAGTCTCTTGAGAGGTGAGTTAATTTTGTTTTAATGTTTTAGTCCACTTCTGCTGTAGTGCAGGGGCATCCATGTTTGGTCTTGAAGAGAAATATGGGCACAGCAAAGTTTGGTAATTTCCCAGCTCAAACACACCTGATTCAATTTAGCAGTTAGTTTCCAGTTTTAGTAGGTGTGTTTGAGCAGGGAAATCACCAAACTGTGCTGGACTCCTGCACTCCAGGATCAGAATTGGACTCTCCACAAAGTCAAGTAAGTCAGTCAGTGAATCAAGTAATTTCTGCCTTGTCACGTTTTAGCAGATATTTAATTCATTAGAAGAAAATAATAAATACATTTGAAACTTTCTCTCCTTTCCTCAAATTCTGTTGCAGTGCCACTATCTTCCCAGGGGGTTTAAACACTAAAGTAAAACGCGAACATTAAATGAACCTGTTAACCTTTTTTGTATCCCAGCAGTGATAAGGATGCTGGTTTGCCGTATCTTTAGGGAAAAAGTGAAAGAAAACATAAAGGGATTCATTGAGAGAGTACATCATATTTGTGTAAAAGAAAACCACGAAAGAAGTCTTAGGATCCTCCGCATGGACCTGCAAATGCTGCAAATGTGCCTATTAGGTGTTCTCACAACAGTATCAGGGAAAAGGAAACCAACTTCTCTTATTGTGAAATCGTGCTCCCTTCTTATTTTTATAACTGTCAGAACACTTTGTATTACACAACAAGCAAAGCATACAAATTTGAAACTCTGGAACTGTTTTAAAAAGCATGCAAAACTTGGATGTGGACAGAGGCCAAAGTATACACTTAATATGGCTAAACAACAAAACCAGAAGTCTCAGCTCTGTTCATTGTGACAGGCAGACTGATTTGGCCTGTATACAGCACTTCTGATGTCTTGCCATGATGTCTGTCTCTTTTTTCAAGAGTGCACATGTAGGTAGAAATGCTTAAGCTGTTACATATAAGAAAAAGGCTTTATTGTAATTTGATGGATTCCACAGAAGAGCTATCTGAGAAATGCAATGTGGAGATGTTTTGAGCCTAGTTTATAAAGTGTACATATAAAATACCAAAAGCTATACAGTATAAAATACAGTATGTTTCTAGTCTATATCTAATGAGACCAAAAGACAGATCATGTACAAGGTTAAAATGAATAACTCTTATTAATAACGCCTTGTTTTTTTCCTATATGTTTTTGCTAACGCTGAATGTAAATGTCCTCACATCAGAGCTTCTCAATTACATATTAGCAAACATCTCTCTGCGTAGCATGTCACCATTTATGTGAGACCATTGCTTAGGTGCACTGTGGGAAATTGCAGTGCCAGACTCACCGTGCCACTGGGACTTGTGTGTGTTGTGCAGCCAGCTGTTGAGGTTTTATGGTCTCAGGAGAACCTGTGGTGAAGCGGTCTGCTTCTGAAGCTGCCTATCTTCTCCTGCAGAATCCCCACTGAGATTAATGGGGCTCTAATGATACACTTGGATGGTGGTCTGAAAAACATTTTGAGTTGGTTGTTGCTTGTTTTGCACTGAGACACTTTGAAAGATGACAACAGCAGGTCTTTAGCTCACACTTGTCTTCGAAACAGAGAAGAGAGGGTAGATTGAGAGAGCGAGAGAAGGGTAGAAAAAGGTAAAGGGGTTCACACTGCTGGTAAGTAAATAACCAAGCAAAAAAGTAAATAAATAACTATATACTTACAAATTCTAGCTTAAGAGCCCTGTTCACTGGATAACAATAGAACATAAGTATTAAAATATTATATTTTTCAAACCTAAAATTTAGAGGATAATACTGAGCCTCACTGATTCCGTTTCTACGTATTACAGAAATGCATAGCATTATCCTTTCAAGCCCCAGCTCCATTCAGTGGAAGTGGTACTATTGAATGTGATTTGTTCATAAATAGAGATGTTAATAGCTGGTCAGACTGCATTTAGACTAGTCTCTAAAGTGTAGGTCTTTAAAGAGCACTTTCCTGACCAGGTTGGAACAGTGCATCGACAAGGAGAATTAATGCAGGGATGACATTTTGATGGCAATTGTATAGCGTGCTTTTTTTATGCAGAGGTCTGTGATTTTACTGTCGTGCCGGGTGAGTTATGGTCCAGGTTTCTGCAGCTGCGCTGCACGGTGTGACCTTGTGCCAATGGCTGTCACTACGCAAATTTGTTGTTCAAGGAGAGGGAAAGAGCATATGGGAACCACCAGGTGCATTTTGGCAAACTTCGAACATGGAACAAGAAGAAAGCAAGGGCATTTTCATCTGAACATTTAAGCCATGAGAACTGAACAGTCTGACAACTCTTCAGATTGAGTTTCCAGTTATTAACATTGATAGATGGGGCAATTTCTATTGATTGATTAGGTATTGATTTCAGTATTCGTGCTGGTCCAAGGTACATTTAGTAAGCCATTTCCAGATTTCAACCTTAATGGCCTGTGGCTTGTATTGTTTCAGTTGATCATTTTATCAACAGCAGTTTCACTAAATACATCCTGTCCACCATGAAGAAGACATCATTCCCATAGTGACTAAAATGACTAAAATGTATTTTACCTTTTACAAGAAACTATTGCTGAGATAGTGGTTATGGCACGCCAGAAATTCTTCTGTAAAAAACTCATTTTGCCAGCCTGTAATTTCATGTTGGTTATGATGGCATTATGTAAGCACTTTTTGATCTTCATTTATTGTCTTTGTGTCAGTTGCGGCTTTGCGTGGTCAGCGCTACAAGAAACACAGGGACAAAGTATTTCATGGTGTGATGGCTGTGCGTGAAAATCAGCAGCCTGGGATTCACTGAGATGATCGGATTTGTCTGTCTGTGTGGAAATGAATTCGGGGTGAATAGAATTGGAGACCTTAACTGGATGGTCTGTCAGACTTGACAAACAGCTTTCAGGTGACCACTAATGCCCTTTCAAGAAACGAACATTTTTTTACATAAGATGTCAGCTTGAGGGTTATTTAAAACTAGTCATTGTTTAAGTTGATCAAAATATTATTTATGTTGGATCACTGTTTGTCTTTGAAATGGTTAGCACTGAAAAAAAATATAGTTACTATAGCTTATGGAATTTTGAATTAGTTAATTATATAATTTGCTCAAATGCCAAAAAGCAAAGCAAACATTTGCACTCATATACTTACAACCTAATTACAAACCAGAAAAGTTGGGGCAGTACGTAAAATGCAGATAAAATGAGAATAGTGATTTATAAATCTACTTTGACCTGTATTTGAACGAAAACAGTGCCAAGATATGTAATGTTTATGTAATGTAGATATGCATTGTTTTACCTGATCAGCCTTATTGTTTTTTGTAAACATACGCTCATTCCGAAACTCATGCCTTTAACACGTTCCAAAAAAGTTGCAACAGAGCAATTTAAGACAAAGAACATTGTGAAATGTTCAAAAAACATCCTAAACAGGTGATGCCATCATGGTTGGGCATAAAAGGAGCATCCAGGAAAAGCTTAGTCCTTTATGAGCAGGGATGAGTTCAGGCTCACAACTTTGCCGAAAATGCATCAACAAAAATCAGTTTAAAAATAACATTCCTTAGTGAGCAATTGCAAGGAATTCAGGTATTTCATAAATATATGGTCTGATGAGTCAGCCTTTAAGATTGTTTTTTAGAAATAATGGACATCATGTTCTCTGGGCCAAAGAAGAAAAGACCATACAGATATTGCCAGCAAAAAGCAAAAAGTGCAAAAACCAGGGTCTGTCATGGCATGGGGGTTATTAATGGGTAACTTGCACATCTGTGAAGGCATCATTGATGCTGAACATGTTTTAAGAAACATATTCTGTCTTCTAGATGACATCTTTTTCAGGGATGTCAATGCTGTTATTAAACATGATAATGCCAAACCACATTGGTGGTAAAACAGGATGACTGCTTAATCAAAGAGTGCAGGTGCTGTGCTGGACCAGCCTGCCTGCAGTCCAGACCTGTCTTCCTTTGAAAATTTGTGCAAAACACAACAGTGAAGGTCCCCAGTCGATTTCTTAAGTGTTGTTAAAAGGAAAGGTGATGTAACACAGTGGTAAACATGCTCCTGTCCCAACTTTTTTGGAATGTGTTGCAGACATCAAATTTGAAAAGAGTGTATATTTACAAAAACTAGTGAATTTCAGGAGATGAAACAAAAAAATGTTGCCGTTTTCAATTTAATATAGGTCAAACAGAATTTAATAATAATTTAATACTGCTGTTTTAAAAACAGTAGGTTATGAAAAGGTACAAGTATGACCCTTTGCCTTGGGAAAAAACATATTTAAGGTACAGAATTTGACCTTAAAACCTTTGAAGTTGTGTTCACATTGTTTGCACCTTGATGAACAATGTATGTACCTTTTTTGTAAGAGCATGTAATCATTTTATCATTTTATCATTTATAATCATGTTTTATTGTAGTGCATTACCTGAAATAAAGACAATGGAAAAATTCAAGAGCTGAAAGCCTAACTGTTTTTCATAGAAAGTGTACCTTACATCATATGTCTCTGACCTTTTTTGTTAAGAAATAACATAAATAGGTGTAAGAACTGAGATTTAAGTTGTGTTTAAGAAGTTTTAAATGGCAGAATTCCTAATGTTTAATCAAAGCATTAATGATGAGGTATTTGACAAAAATGAAATATGAATGAAAATAAAATGTTAATAAAATAATTTGCAACAATCAGTGAAAAACACTGTTGTTCGTCAACATTTGAATTGGAGTGTTTTTAATCTTCAAGTTTTAAATACAGATGATATTTCTTTAGAGAGCAAGAAAATTTACTAAGCTCGGTAAGGAAAAGGGAACAAAATCTGTTTCATTGAATCTTTGAAAACATAACTGAATTGTTTAGGGTTTTGGGATTGACTTTAAACTACCAGCACCATATCAAAACATCCCCTAGAAGTTAATGACACTTTCATTTAAGCTACTGTTTACTAGCAACATAACACACTGGAATCCAAACAAGCTCCTCAGCAAGGCAGAGACTACAAAAAGACAGCAAAATGTCAAACGATTGTCCAAACAACCAGTATTGCAACCAAAATACTAAACCACGTCCTTCATTATGTGATACAGACTGTCAAAACACCCAGTGTCCAGCTACTTTTACCTTATTTTAATATTTAGATACTTAGCTACCTTCACAATGAATGCTAGTTAGCTCAGTATTAGTCATTCCCTTACATGAGTCACATTAAGTAACATGCTTAAATATTGTAAACCTTTTAAACTAAACTGATGAAATAAACCGATGAATTGTCAAATATTAATTACACTAAATAGAAGTCCAAATGCAAATCACCACTTTTTTCTTGGCTGGTTCCACATTCCAAACACACCATGGGCTGACAGTTGTTACCATGGAGACTGGGTGACCCTGGCGGACCCCGCTGTAGTGTGACTTTCTACTGGCTGAATGGGCTGTGCGCTGGACTTGCACAGAGTTTAGAACAGAGTAAAATAACTTTACCATGTTTTACTATAAAAATAGCTGCCTGTATTTTCAAGATATAAATCTCAACACCATTTTGTCCTGAAACTTTCGTTTCATGCATGTAGGTAATAAACTACTTCACTTCCTATTTTGAAATTTGCAATTGCAAACATGCATGCAGTCATGAGATGCTACTGGCGTGAGCCTCCTCTCTTTCAATGACGCTTTGCATGTTGATGTCACATAAAAGTGATTTTTTTAGTGCTAATTGCTCCCCCTTGTGGAGAATATTTGGATTGCTGAACTTCCATTGTTACAGGAGACGGTCGGTAATAGTTCAAGGAAATGAAACATTAGTGGTAATTATTGTGTAATATTAGTTGGCAAGCTGTTTAAAGTCAATTTTACATAACTTGGATGCATGTAATGTTGCAGCCAAGGTGATAACTTCCTGTAAGAGGTCTAGGTTAATCCTCATGCTCTTGCAAGTTTTTTCCTTCTGAGTTTTGGTTCCTCTCAAGGTTTCTGCCTTTCTGCTCTTAGGGAGTTTTTCCTGTTGCTGTTGCCTTCAGCTTACTCACTAACCTGTATTGCTGTTTTATCATAGTGTCTGTTGTAGAAACTGCTTTATGATAAATTTGATTCATAGCTTGCGTCGGAGTTGCACTGTTGCTATTTAGGGAAAGTTCGTACATAGAATGCTGGCAAAGAGCAGTGACCTGGCTTTTCTCTTGAGCATGCCTTGAGGTCAAAATGACTCAAAACATAAATGTAGTGCTTAGTCCAGAACATACTTGGAGAACTTAATTGCTAATTTTCTAAGTAATGCCCACAAATGTGAAATGTTAAATCATTTGAACTATTTTGCTACGTTGGCACTATATCAGAGATTTGGGGAACTGCAGCACTCCAGATGACTGGCCCAATGTTTGCTTATTTAATAAGTCTGGATGTAAGAAGCACTGCATTCGGTCCAGTCAAAGATGGAGTGGATCCAAGAAACAGTAGGTGTTTCAGCTAATGGGCTAGACCCTTTGGCATGTTACAAAAGGCCATTAAGGCTCAGACCTTTTCAAACCACCAGGCCAGTGATAGGAGGTGCAAAAGCTTTCCAGCTATGAAAGCAAAGGAGAAAAAATGACATGTGACATATTGTAGTGTAAAAACAAGTTAGCTTCACACTTCAAAGCTTCTCTTGGTAATTTATCACAGCTGGGAGTGGAGGAAGAGAGCAATTGTGGTTTCATGCATCCCCACCAATTCAAACAATTAGATTTTGTAAGCAAGCAGTCTTTTGAGCAGAAGTGCCTATCATACAAGGTGATTTTTAATATTGGTATCTGTTAATAACTGTCAGAGAAAAGGCAAAAAATATATGTAGGTAGGTGGTTTTAGCATGTCAAATTATTTCCTGCAAAATGCTTTCTAAACTAAGAACTCTCCCAGTTAGGTTTTGCATGTGTGTTGTTACAACCCTTGTATTTTTTTCAGTATGCAGTTCTTTGGCCGTAACTGAATCTCTCTGCTGCAGGGCTTACCTGAGTGTGAAAGAACTCAAGGAGCTGCTTCACCTGAGCAGTTCAGACACACTCAACGTGTTCTTTGCCAACAACTCTGCTCGGGAGGAGCTTGCTGGGGCTGCCACATGGCCCTGGGCCAAGGAGGCCCTTACACATCAAGGTGAGAAGCAGGTCCTCCTGATCTTTGTGCACAAGCTTCAACATTAAGCAAAATCTTAAACTTTAATTTTTTTTTTCTTTAATTGATAAGTACTGGGTTTAGGAATTCCTAAACCAGATCCAGATTGATGCATTTTATTTAACAAATTTCTTTAACCTCCAACCTCCTGGTTTTTTGTTCTCATGCAATGTGCTTTTTAACTTCTATTACCATAGACATTTCCCCTCAAGGCTGCAAATGCATAGATCACCATCACCATACTTTCTTTTCCTCTCTTTTCCCCTTCAAACATTTTGTTCTTTCTCTCTTCCTTCTTGTTCTCAGCACTTGCATTTACGAGATTAATGGGCTGTAATCCCGGGCATAAAAGGAAACGCTTGCAGCACGCATAGATTTCCCCTGCAGATTGCCCTTAATCATTTTGGCCTTTCCCCAGAAGAGTGCAAGAAAGAGAGGAAAAAGATCCCGACAACAACCAAACAAAAACAAAAGAAGGGTGCTGCCCTGTTGCTGTCTCCTTTCACCTGCCAGCTGATTTTATGGTACTCACTGTTGCTATGTTTTGGAGCTCATTAAAGCAGAATGGGCCTTTTAGGTCCAGCTCCTCTAAAGTGGAGATTTCTCTCAAGCGGGAAGTCTTCTTATGTAAGCCCACCTCCCAACAATTTGAGGTGCATGATCAGATTTTAGCTTGGCTTCTCCACTTATGGCTTTAGTTAATGAGATTAGTTTGGCAGCCGGTTGAAATTAGGATCTTTTAAAATTGATGCTAGCTGGATTAATTAATGACAACCTTCTCCTGGTTTAATTGGACTTAGTTTGCTAACAGTTTCATCATAAATCTCTTTGTATATGTGGGTGATCTTTGTGATTAAAGTAGGTTTGCTTAAATTAACAAAAAAGCAAATGGTTTAGATCTAGTGCTATGTTCAAAGTTATCTTGGTTGTATCATTAACGCTTAACTTCTAGGGTCCTGTCTGTGGGTCCATGCTTTAATTTCTCACTGTACCTACCTTAAATGTTGGTTTCATAGTTAATGATAACTAAACATAGTTATCATATAATTTAGTGTAGTTTCTGAATAGTAAGACTACCATTTAAGGGGTTAATAATAGAAACACCTACTAAAGGGAAAAATAACGAGACTAGCAGGCCTGTTGTGATACCCCTGGAGGCTATGCGCGTCTCCTTGCACATTTATTCACCCTGGGGATGGTGCGCATTCTGCCTGTGTGCCATACTTCCCTTTTCAGGAGGAGAAAAGAGTTGAACCTACAGACCCTTCCTCTCGGCCCAGCTTCCAGTGGCTATCGGAGACACCGCAAATCTGCTTCCCTCTATGATCTCACACACATGCACACACACACACACACTTCTAAATGTTCACTAGAGTAGGTCACATTAGGAGAGTACAGAAAGCCCGCTCCCTAAGAAAATGGATGATTTATGCTCCACTCTGCGTGATGAGAGCAGTAAACCGCCATTCATGCCACTGCTATGCAGTTGATGGAATGCTGCCTTTTTTAAATTCATAATCTAAGGCCACTGGGCAATAACGATCAGTAACCAGAAAAAAGTTTTGTAGCTTCAATAGTTTTCAATAGCTTAAGAGTCATTAAATGAAAAGGCCTTAAAACAAGTTTATATCTATGTTTTTACTGTTAAACAGTAGTGAATAGGTCTACTAACACGGTCCACACTGAAGGCTAACTTTCTGAGTGAGGAACAGTGAGCCTGAGCTATTTTATAACGGAGAAGGGGAATGAATAATAGTGAGAGAATGTCACACAACCAAGCATGAGATTTGTGTTAGGGTTAGCTTGGATTGTGAACTTGGATTGTGAAGTTTTCAGAGGTGGTCCTAGACTCCACTGAGTAAGGTGGTGTAGGTTTGTGATTGACTGTGCTCTTTGGAATGCCAGTTTTGTGCATATACATGTGTGTGTTGTACTGATATGTCTCCATGTTCATTATGCCCATAATCTCCCCCTTTTTTGATTTACTTTAGTGTCAGAAACAGTCCTAAATGAACCCAAAAACTGTAGAAAAAAAAGGCAAAAAAATAAATGCAATGTTTGTTCGAGAAGTGCTTCATGGACCTACGCGAAGGTTAAAGAGCGAGATCAGGTTCTCATAAATTGGTGGACTGAGGTTTAAGGTGCGGGTTTTGGCAGTCACTATTCTGTTGTGAATGCAGATAAATCACCACATTGTTCGCGAAAGAACTTGATGTTCGATATCTGGGGATAAAGTCGAGCAAATGCCCCAAACGGTTTAAGTGAAATCGGACCGTAGCAATGGTGCACTGATCTGCCCGTGTAGCTGCAAATGATGTGTGTCTGTCGGACATGTCTGGCCAAAGTCTGTCCCACTGGCTCTGTTTCTATAAAACATGGGGATTTCTTAAATAAGAGTGGCTCTTTTCTCAAATCGAGGGTATACCATGCACCCAGATGGCTTTTCTGTGGTTACACTGATTCCAGATTTGTAGCAAGGTCCTCCAAAAGGGGTTTTACAGATGTTTATGCAAACCTGTTTTTAATTAGTCAACAAATAGCTTGTTGGCCTTGAAAGACATAATAACCAGACATAATAATGCCTTCAATTTTACATAAATTGCTTAACAGAAATTATGCAAATGATTTTGGAGAATTAAACAAAAAAATATTTTAAATGGACAAATGTTTGCCTGTGGTTTAAGTGGTTATAAAAATGTCATATCTTTTAAGCATTTCTATTACATTTTAGGTTATGAAATACATTGCCAGTATGCTATTATGTAGGAGGCCTAAATGCATTGTCATCTTCCTTAGCTTTGGTATAACACACACATTACTGAAGAGTTGGGTTCCACTTGGTCACCTATGACAATGCTTAGACACATCTCATATAGTAGGATTGCATGATGTACTCATGTCAATAAAGATTTCGTTATCAATTTCATGACGTTAAAGACTCGCTTATTTTGAAGTAAGAGTTCCCCAAACCTGTCTAAACTTGTTTAGACTCTATGTGGTTAGATAAGTGATTGCATACTTTTCTTTTTAATTATCATTACTTATTCAGTAATCTTTATATAACCTTGTTTCAAGGTGGAATGATACTGAACCCATCCTACTTCGGCACTGTTGGATACAGCAACACCATGATCCATGAAATGGGTCATATTTTTGGACTGTACCATGTCTTCAAGGGGGTGAGTGAGAGGGAATCATGTGATGACCCATGTCAGGAAACTACAGCGTCCATGGAGACAGGAGATTTCTGTGCTGACACAGCCCCAACCCCAAAGTCTAAAGCCTGCAGAGACCCTGACCCAGTCAATGACACCTGTGGCTTGACCTACTATCATGATACACCCTACAAAAACTATATGAGCTACACAGGTAAATCTGTTAGAACCACTACATATAATATAATTACATATTTAAGACATTTTAATACTTTTACAATCTCACATCTGAGATAAACATAAATGGACAGAAGTCTTAAACAGCACTCTTAGACTATTTTTCTGGCATTTATTTGTTTAAAAAACACCAACAATAAAATAATTAAAAATAAATAAATAAACACTACATTGCAATTACATGTGTGTCAGTCATACTATGTTGCAATTTTATGTGTGTCAGAGTTCCCAACCTCTCCTTGATGAATCCCAGTATGTAGGGTTGCCATCCAATACCTCCTTCAGTGAATCAATCCCTCATTAAATTAAATCAGGGGTGCTGCTGATTGAATTTAACAAATCCATGCAATGGCTGGAGTGTACCGAGTCAGGAACCAAACCTGACCTTGCAACTTCTAATCAAGATATTAATAACTTTTGAAAACAATAAATTATTTTTACTTTTTTCATGGCTGCCTTGGACTTGCACAGTAATGTAACTGGTTAATAGCTTGAAAATAAAACAAATATTACTCCTTTACATTGGTGTAATAACAAGAAAAAGAGAGATCAGATTGCTACATGATAAATTTAGACAGTAAATGATAAGTGATTGAGTGTTGTGATTAATCTGGCATCTGAAATAAAAGCTTTTGCCCTTTCTTCATTACAGATGACAACTGCACCAACCACTTCACATCACATCAAGTAGCTCGGATGCACTGCTACATCGACCTGGTGTACAAAAATTGGGTTCAAGACAGAAAGCCCACCCCTGTTCCACTTGCACCTATGGTGATTGGCCAAGATGCCGACTCTGTCTCAATTCATTGGCTGCATCCAATCAGTGGGCCTCTTATGCAAAGGTAAGGTGACAAACGTGGAAAAAAACATGATTCATATAAAACTGTAGATAGCTGAGAATAATGCAGTGTATCACTGGTTTTAAGTGTACCTCAAAATTCCATCAGCATGTCAATATTACATTGAGCAGACCAAGCTTGTGTCGCCAGAATATTGGTTCAAGCAACTGCTATAAGAAAGTCTGTGGAAAAGTCATTGGGTGGCCTTAATTGTTAGTGTCTGTCTTGATGATATGTGTGCATGCACCTTTTAACATTGCTGTGTGTATAGGGAGGAGGGTGTGAATTGCCAGTTGTGTGATGAACACGGAGTGCTTCATCAGTATGCCTTTGAGGCCACTTCCCCTCACACCTGCGACACTAGTGGGTACTGGACTCCAGAAGAAGCCGTGGGTAAGTACCTATAATCTCAGTACCCTAGCCTGAGTGTAATACAAGCTAACCATCCCTCCAAAGTCCTGTTTCATGTCAGGCATCTCAAGGGACCCCAAAAATTTAACCCTAAGTCACATATGAATTGCATTGCAACTTAGCTTTTGATGTTCAGTATGCAGTCAGTGACTTCAAAAACATTACCAGCTCTTTGATTAATGAGGATACAAAGCCCAGCTGCTTCATTCGGACCACGCTCCTCTTGCTGGCTCACTCATGAGGAGGATCCTCCAGTCTCCTCTAGGCCAGGTGCGTGCAAGTCCCAAGGAGTCTGGAAAAATTTAAAGGATAAATCATTAAATAATAATTGCTAGGATAAAGAACTCTCTTGTCTTTGCCATTGGAAAATAATAGAAATAAGTTCTTGGCATGGCATCAAGTTTTGGTAATATTGGGCAGCTTCCAGAACTGGGTTGTCATAAAAAAGCTATGTGTATCCTGCATTGCGTTTGAACTTTATTCCTCATGTAACAGATGTTACTGATTATTCCAATCAGGATTCTCTTAGCTGTTGGGGCTGCCCACTTGCTGACATGTCATGGATAAGGCTGTGCTTTGAAACATGGAGGCAGATCTGTGGAAATCCTCAGCTGGTATGTGAGTGCCTCAAAAGAGTGCCTCAAAAAAAAAAAAAATCCCAAAAAAACACCACCACCACCAGAGAGGTTAAATGTAAAATCATCCATTTACGGATGGTGGAGAGTGATTTTTGGACTCATTTCTTGTTTGGAAAAACAGTTGATGAGATATGAGACATTAATTTTTGAAGATGAAAAAAAAGAAATGATAACAGAAAATGTTAGAGCATTGCTGAGATATGGCAAGGGAGATTTAGCAGTGCTGCCTCAGGTCTGTAATAAATTAAATGTAATCTATTGTCTTTGCTTTATTTTTAGATGAACAATAAACCACATGGTGACTACTAAATGTGAATTATTTTGTCAGTCAGTTCATCACCTCAGAAAGGCTTTTAAACTGAAAAGACAGCAGTGTTTGGGTAACGTGAAATAAGGCTTGGGGTAATGCTGTAGTAAGCCATTTTTGATAGCTTCAAAAGAACTAGCACAGTCCAATTCAAATGCTACAAATACATTTCTTTCAGAGGGTCTGTTTTTTAGAAGCCATACTGCAATTCTTTTTTCTGGTTACCTGTCTTAGCTTCATAGGCAGATTGAAAAATAGACAGATGCACATATAGATAGATGGATAAATAAATAGACAGATAGATAGGTGTATTTTATTTATCCCTAGAGGGGAAAAATAGATGGTACAGCAGAAAAATAAAACAGATTCTACATAAGAAATACAGAATACACATATTACACATACATACACATACAGTGCAGACACTTCAGTGCAAAAGTGACAAAGTGCAGAACACAAAACATCTAACCAAAGCATATTTATGTATATTAGTGTGTAATGTGTAACAGCAACTAGAGAGAAAGACAAAGCACAGGACAGAGAATCAGTAATAAGAAATACGTTTGCCTATAGTTTGGTTATAGTTCCCTGCACTTCAGACCGCTGTTGACATTAACTCTCACTTATTATAAATTATTTTTCAGATTCCTTTCTGTCCCAATTAAGGTGCCAATTCATATAGACAGTACATACTATAAAGTGTTATTTGTGTGCAAAGGGAATTCTGTCCACAGCTGCAGAGAGCGGGAGATGGTTAAAGTTGCTAAGAGAAGGAAGGATGACAAGCCCACAGATCTTGCCGCACTGCTTTTCCCGGTGGGGGCATTGCGCCACATCTGATACAGCCATTAATTCCAGCCTGTGTGGAGGCTCTCGCTCTGTTTATCTGACCAATTGAGTTTTATGGTTTGCCTTGGCCTGCTGCAGTTTACCCAGCACACATCCACACATGTGAGGCCACGCTGGGTGCAAAGGAGCATGCACCAACCGGAGGCTGTTGTCTGTCTCTCCAGTTGTCTGTCTGCCTGTCCTCTTGTAAAGTTAACTTGTACTCTACAGCACTGCTGAGAGAGTTGAGCACATTGGCATACATTTTAGCCAATCCAGTCTAGAAATTTTATTTCTGATTAGAAGTGTGCATGTGCTTGCAAGTGTCCAGTATGGCTACTCTAAGGATTACCGTCTCCCTCTGTTTCACCCACTATGCCCCTGCACTTCAGGCCGCTGAGGGCATTAACTCCCACTTAGTATAAATTATTTTTCGGATTCCTGTCCGTCCCAATTAAGGCGCCAATTCGTCTCTTTTGCCAAGTTGCACCTGGCCTTACGGTCGATTGAGGCCTGGGGAAGTGTGCTTCACATCCACTGCCAGGACATGTGGTTTTTCCCAGACTCTCCAGCTCTTCTGTCTTTTTCTCTTGCTCCTTCTCTCTCTCTTGCACTCTCTCTCTCCCTCAGTTTCTTTTTCTGCCTCACCATCTTTTTCTCTCCAATTCTTGTTTCCATCTCCAAAAACACACGGACATGACAACCCCTCCCTAGCTCAACGGGCTTAAAGTAACAGGAGACAAATTCAGTCAAAATGTTAGTTACGCTTTCCTTAAACCTGTAACATCATGTGCTATACAAACACAGTGTTCTTGAGCACTGTTCTTGAGGCTGCAGGTTGAAAACGTTTCCATCGGCTGTAATGGCTGATAAGAATATATGACATTTTTGACAATGTGATACAATTTAGCTGATCCTCATGAAAAATGCTTTTCTGTTTTATCCAAAAAAGAGCTGTTTTATTAATCAAAACCAGCAGAGGGACATCAGTAGTGTTGAATAAGTAACAGAGTGAAGCTAGTTTCCCGTTGGATACTGATAAGGACTATACAAAGTGTATTTTCTCCTCAGTGGACGATGTGGAGACATGTTGTTTGTCAGAGAAAGATATTTTCAATCTTTATGGACCTAACAAACATCGGCTAGAGCAGTAGACCCCAACCCTCATCCTGGAGAGCTACATTCCTGCAGAGTTTAGTTACAAACTGTATCCACTAAGCTGCCCCTAACTTAGCTCTAATGCTAGGGATTTGAAATGAGATTTATTAGCTGGAGTGGGTGTGGCAAATTATGGTTGAAAGTAGGCTTTGCAGGAAGGTGGCTATCCAGGACCTATGTTGGAGACCACTGAGCTAGAGTAGCTAGCCTAGTTTTAGTGAGACAGCTGCACAGCTGGATTTCTGCTTTTTCAGCCATGCGCTCACGCTCAGGCGCTACTGTTTTGGGTAGCAAAATACAACATAATATAATTACACACAATACAAGCAAGGAGGAGTGGGCACCCCGTGGCACTTGTGCTAGCTGGGATGGTGGACAGGCTAGGTGTACCCATACCCCAGCTCACCCTCCAGTTCACCCTCCACCCTCCGTTAGGAGTCATCTTTCTAAAAAAATTCTGAAAGTTTTTAGTTGTGATTTTGCTTTACAACACCCTGCATTTACTTGTCTTTACCATGAATGGATTTAAAAAATATACATTTTAGTTTATTTTCATAAATCCATGTTTCAGGCATCTTGTGGCTTATTCATAACAATTTAATGTCGTAACTTTATGTGATATAGCTTTTTGGACAGTTCTGGCTCTGTAAGCTTCTCTAAAACTGAGCATTTCATATCAAATCTCCCTGAGTGATGTTGCTAACATCTTAATCATTTAATTATACAGAAAGTAAAATTGGTGGAATTCCCCATGAAGGATGTATTTAAGAACGCACATATCAGTATTAAGCTACAGTACTACAAAGTTCAATTGCAAGCTCCATAAAATGTAATAAAAATGTGTGTGTGTGTGTGTGGGTGCGTGTGTGTGTAGGTGCCCCTGATGTGTACCAGCCTTGTGAGCCTAGCATGCGTTCTTGGAGCCCAGAGTTCAGTCTCTATGAGGCCAATATGACCTCTCCGTGTCCCCAGACTGAAGGTTGTGTTCTCCAGCTCTATTTCCAGCACCCTGTGGTTCCAGACACTCTAACTGTGTGGATCACCTACATCTCTACCAGTGAGTACCGCACCTACCAGACAGCTAGCAAGAGAAAGAAATCTCAATAGCCAGTGTAGGGATGCACACTCAGAATTGAATGTGCTTCTGTTTTATGAATCACTCAGTCTGTGTTGTACATGTATTGAAGAATCCAAACCCTAACTGTACCAGGGGAACCAGCCTGATGTCTGGAGAAGTGAAGTTTATTTGTTTGCGTGCAGGTACCAGACACCTAGCCAGCCCGTACGATTAGGCTCAGCCTATACATGACAAGTGACAGGTGTGACAGACATGACCGTGTAGGGATAAACAAGAATAGGCAGAAGAATGTTCTAAATACAGTCACAGTACAGGGACACACAATACTGAATATGACATATAACACAACACTAAACACTTTACAGGGCAGTACATTTCTACAGTATTCACAGTGTATTTGAATGCTGCTGCTGCTACACCTATACCAAAATGTCACAGTGAAATCATGCATGACTCATTTTTCTTGAATTTCCAGTTTGCTCTACCAGTTCATGTAGCAGTATAATTGATTCATGTTATTTAACCCGGCAACTGATTTTTCACTTATGAATTAAGAATCATCCTACTAAAGAGCAAATAATTTAATAGTTATTGCAATTGCTAATATATAGTAAATGTGCAGGCGTGTTTCATGTGTTTATTTAGCTCACACATTGAGTGCATATACATGCACTCAATAATCCGATCTTAATCGGATTTCTGCAGTTATCCGATTATTCAAATGGTCATGTAAACACCATACACTGATCTAAAAATCCGATAAAGAGAGCTGGATTTTAGGTTAGTAATCAGATTTCTCAGTGTATGTATACTCGAACTCCGATTTCTATCGGATTTCTCAGTCTGCGCATGTGCGAGAACAGACGGTGGATGTCGCGAGATGGCAGCCAAACACTGTTGGATCGGCGTGGAAACCAAACACAAAATAACGGATTTGAATATTCTTTATCTTCTAGAAGATGTAAGTTCATATTTTCAGGTAAAGTGGCGCGATGTTTTTTTTTTTAAAAAAAAGACGTGGTATGAAGTTTTACATTATGTTTACGTCACTTCTTCTTCTGTGAGTCTATTGGGTGGTTGCAAAGCACAAATCCGATTTTTGCCTCACTCATGTAGACCCGGAGTTTCCCATTATCTGATTACTCAAGTGCATGTAAACGTGTTGATCGGGTTACAGACAAATTCTGATTTTCTGTAGTTATCAGATTATTAAGTGCATGTAAACGCACTCTTTGTTTAAAAAAGGCTAATAAAAATGGCCATCTAGGAATTCGGTACATCCCTTGTCATATCCATTTCATATGTTGTTGCTGTTTTTTCTGTCCTGTAAAGTTACCATTTCAGTAGATACAAGTTTTTTGTTGCGAGGTGATAATATTTTTGTTTATTCTATTTGCTTCTATCCTTCACTGGTGCCCTCACACCGCTGGGCGTTATCATATGGATCCGTTTTTGTAATGTAACTCATGCTCATTTTGGAGCATTGGTTTCTTATTTGAGATCCCTCACCTTGCCCACAGACAGCCAGGCTATATCCAATCTGGAGTTCATCCTGGAGACAGGCGAGTCTGTTCATGCCGGCCCTCAGCAGGCCTTCTGCGATGTGCCTCTGACTCTGCGTGTCAACATCAACAAGAAAGTGAAAGCCATTAAAATTTGCACCTTTGACAAGAAGCTGGAGATTGATGCTGCGTTGCTCACTTCACGGCCCCAGAACCCCGTCTGCTTCAGCTGCCGGATGCTCCTGTACCGTGTGCTTCGAGAGCCGCCCATCAGAGAGGACTGGGGCCCAGTCATACTCAAACAAACCACATACACTGACAGGTATGAGTTTCGTGTCAAATGTGGCTATGTTCGTCCACAATACTTTGTTTTTAATGAGGTAAGTCAGATGCATATAGCCACTCAGACCTATACATCATTTGGCCTGTATTAAGTTTTCACCAGTTTATCATTTCAAAAACCACCAATAAAAGTGCCTCTTCAAATGCTATATAAGACAGCTAGATTCAGGAATGTGATGTTATTCTCACCAACAAGTGAACGCACTGTCAGTCGCTAAAGATACTTTTGTTTTAGGGTTCAGCTTTATGTAAGTTCATGGTATTTACCTGTTTTCAGTTAAAATTTTAAGTTCTGTTGTTAATCATAGGAGGTTTTATATAGGCCAATGAAATTTGATAATTGAGAAGTGGTGTATTTGACAAGCAACATTCATATCAGTCAGTAAACTACAGTTTAACCTAAACTATTGAAGTCTGTTTCATTTTTGACCATCTAAAATTAAACTGCTTGTATATGCTATTGGTGGTATTATTGGCTGTTGAGAAAATGATTTTGGCTCCTTAAAATTAACATGGTTTCAGAGACAAGACTTTTTAATTTGTGCCCTGATAATGATATGTATTGTCTGCTGAAAGCTCATGAGGACCCTAAGACACGAAGTGGTCTTTTTTCTAACTTTCATATAAACTGGTGCACTGACATATTTGGCCAGTTTTGCTATTTTTTTGTACAGATTTAAAGTGTAGAAACAGCAGGAATCAGTAACTCTAATTTCTGTGAGAGCATGAACTTCTGTTAGTTCCTGTTTGAGTCAGCATATTGTTCACTTTAATGTAATAAGTGACAACTAGCAAGCAAGAATATTTTATTGCTCTGGAACGGACAACAACAGAATAATTCAAATACTGATAGAATATGAATAATAGCTGTTATATCCTCTTTTTGTTATTATTCATTAATGTCACTTAGCATGCTAATGAATTAATCTCCCAGTGCTCCTCAGTTTGCGTCACATTGTCATATGCTCGTCTGAGTATAAAGATGTCAACAGGGTCTTGGTTTATTTCTCCTCGAGTGCTTGCAATAGGTCAAAATGTTCAGGCATTAATGGTGCGGAGCAAAGTCTGTTTCATCTCCAGAAAAAGTTCCTTCCACCAGCCCTGTAAGTGCAAAAAGATGGAAAAACCAAAAGGGAATAGAGTTATGTGGACGGGGAAAGGAGGGAGCAGGGATGAGAGAGATAGAAAGAGAGAGACAGATAGTGTGAGAGAGTGAGAGAGAGAGAATCTGGAATATAAACCAAATGTGACCATTTTACCAGTAGAAACATTAAACACCTGAGGCTGTTTGGAGCTGCTTCTTGATCGCCTTCAACCCTTCTCTCTTTTTCTCTGTCTCTCTCTGTCTTTCTCAGAAGGTTTGGAGTGCTCATCATAGTTAGTGCACGATAATTGAGGGACCTGTCATTGGGTGTGAGGGGGTGAGTGGTGGGAGGGAGGAGGAGAGATGGAAAGAGAAAGACTAAAGGACAGTCAGTTGCAGCTGGGGGCTTGGGCAGCACTGCCACCAAGAGGTCTACAGTAAAAACAAAACTGCTCTTATTCTACAGCCTCATGCTGATAATCTTCCCTGATAAAGACCATTTCACCTGTACAAGACGCCTAAATGTGTTCCTTCTCTTTACCCAAACAGAAGTTTTATTACAGCACCTAACATCTAGCTCTCCCTCTGAGGCTTTATAGATGAATAATGTGGCACTTACACTTGTATTGTGGTGGAGGGAGTCATCAGCCCAGGGTTGCTGTTTCTCTGCCTCATAATTCCTCCTGCCAGCATGCAGGGAGAAATAGCTTCACTCTTATCTGTGATACAGAATCCTCTGGGGCTTGAGAGAAATTGTCCCGCTCGCCCTCTCCGGCCCTGGAAGTGATCCATAATTAATGATGGCAATTTGTTGAGGGGTAACCGGAGCTGCCGGAGAGAGCAGATGATGCGTTCCCTGCACAGACATCCCATACTACCGGCCGGAAAAGCGGCTGAAATCAAACAAGCCCTGGCAGTGGAAAGGCAGCAGGCTCTTTTTATAGGCCTGGTGTCCTAAACAAGTCGATACCTCAGAACAGAGCAGTACACTGAAACCTGTGCCATCATGAGGTCAATCCCATTTGGATTCAAGGTTAGATTAGGCATTCCAACTAAAGAAAATGCTGTGGAAGTACAGAACAGCAGCATTACTGTATATAACTAGTGGGAGTGTAAAAATGTACTGATGCATTTTTAAGTCATTGATCGGAAGATGACTTGTCAAATGTTAGAATCAATTATAATCCATTATAATAATACTTAATAAATCATGCACTCATTTTTGGTCCAAAATAAAATGCTCAGGCCTTTTCCAAATACAAAAATATAATTTAAAAAAGCTTGGTTTATTGGGTTTTTTTCCCGCTGCTACGTGAATAGTTCCTCCAGTCACAGTTTTGGATTTTGTGTATTTTTAACACTATTCTTAAACATACCAAAATTCAGATCAATCTAATCCTTATTTTCTACGGCTAGCATGTTTGCTTCTTGTCACTTACTATTTTAAAATGATGTGTGACTGCCTGTGTCTGTGTATGCATATGTGTTTGTTTGGTTGTTCTGAACTACTTACAGTGATGTACAGAGTGGAGTAAATTACACGTACAAGATCCAGGTGGAGGCAGATGGTTTGTTAAGTGAGCTCTCTCCTGCCCTGATCTACACCCATGGACAGCATTACTGTGGAGACAGCCGGCTACAGGGGTACACTTACACTGAACTCATAATGACAGTTGTCAGAAAGAAGAGATGTCTAATTGACCTATTTGTGCTTAGCCCACTGTTGTGAGGTTACATTTACTTTGCAAAATGTTGAGAAAAATCCCATTTGGCCTGATGAATTCATTGAGTACTTAATTAATGCACTCTAAATTTCAGTTTTGACAAAACTGAGTTGTGTGTTACAATTTCTCATTAAGTCGAATAGTATTTTTGCCCCATTTTGTAAAGCTTGTCCAACTTTGTGACAGCTGGTACAAAAGAACGCATTTGTGGCTGGAGCATGAATAGATCAATTCTGATTCTAGAGTGCCAAAGTCCAAGACAGTTTGGTGATTTCCTAGCTCTTGTAACTAACCACTGAATTTTTAAAGAGAAATAGATATTTTGTGTGGCTATGTGTGCATGTGTGTATGTGGGTGCTGTTTTCAGCAGGTACCATTTTTGTGTGTGTAATGTTTTCAGTAGGGTAACCCTTGGCCTCCCCTCTCTCTCTCTCCCCACAGGAATGAGGAGTGCGACGATGGGAATCTGTTAGACGGAGATGGCTGCTCCAAAAAATGCCGCATGGAGCCAGGCTTCAACTGTGTGGGTGAGTCACAGTCAACACACACTCACAGTCTCCACTCTTGAGCCCTCTTACACCACCGCCTGCAGAAGCCACGAAGGGCTGCGGCACATCAGGACCAAGGACCAAATAATGATTACCAGCTTTCATAACAGAAGCCCAGCGGCAGCAGCCTCACTTTGCACCGAGCAGACACCTTCTCAACCAAAGCTTCAGGAAAGTGCAAAAGCATTCACTGTGATGTTTCGGGGCACTTCTGAGATCAGAGAAGGTCTTGCATAGGCTTAAGCTGTTTTCCTAGGACCCTCCTTTATATTCCTGAAACTGCCTGATCCCGAGGCATTAGGAAAATGGAGAACGCGAATATGAAAGCACACCTGCCTTTAATCTAAGATGCTAGTGAGGGCAGCTCGTCTGTTGTCAGCTGGATTTCCGTACTGTGTTAATGCTGCCCAGTGCTGAAAAGTTGGTGCTCTTTGTTATTATAAAGAACTCTAGTCCAGTGAGCCAGCCTGCATTGTTTTCGTGACTGAAAGCGGTACATTCACTATGAGTGAGAAACATGAAGAGCAGTGGAAGAACAAAAGAGTGAATTGGCAGAATATATGTACACACTACAATAGCCACAACTAATCCAAGCATGACTGCAATCCCAATACAGAGGCTGACTCACATGCAATTAAATTTGCCAACAGATTTGGATGGTTTTGAAGTGTTTCTCCATCACTACTTTAGGGCATCTGCATGGTATCTCCTCAAATATTTTTAGCAAGAAAGGGGGAAAAAGGAAAACGTCCTGGAATAACTCCATAATGGCCATTCCGCCCATTTAGCGCAGGTTTGTTTAAGTCAGTTGTTGTGTGGTGCACAAAGCTGCTTGACCTTTGTGCCTGATGTGTTTTTAATTTGGCAATGCAATCCTTTTGAGACACTCTGCCTTTGGTGAGTCATGCCCATTGATCACCTCATTGATGACTCATCCTTCTCTTACCTTAAACGGCTGGAGACCGGCTAAAGCTCAGATGGTGCTCTGATGTAATTCACACGTGCCCGCTGCTAAGGAATCCACCTTTTATTACATGCAAATTTCTCCTGCCAACCTTCTTACCCCCCTGTGGACCGCTGTCACACCTCCGCCTTATTGAAGTGATTGAGCCACTGCGTTCTTAGTCTGTGAAATCACTCCACAGACTTCTCTTCAACATCTTGATGTTTTATTTGACCAGCTGCCCTGAAAACTGGCCCGTTTCAGGAGCCCTCATTGAGAGGAAATGACTGTGGCCTTATCTCATGCTGCAGCTATGAAAACCAAATTAGCATTTGGAATGGTGAAGTGGATTGGTGTTAATTGGCTTGCACTCTTTTTCTCTCTCAGGTCAGCCCAGCCATTGCTACATTTTCGAAGGTGACGGAGTGTGTGAAGAGTTCGAGAGAGGTTCTAGCATTCAGGATTGTGGCTTCTTCACTCCAGAGGGCTTTGTTGACCAGTGGGCTTCTGATGCCTCTGCCTCCCACCAGGACCAACGGTGTCCTGCACTGGCTGCCACGGGGTTGCCTGATCTCAGTCAGGTACAACATACTACTACAGCATGACCTGTGATGTCTGACTCACTACTTTGTAACTACAATCTGTTACTTACAAGGAACAATTCTATAGAGCACAGGTTCCCAGCTCTGGTCCTGGAATTCCTCCTGTCCTGCACATTTTAGTGTTTTTCGGCTCTAACACATCCACCTAAACTCACATAAACTTATTAGAATCCGATGTCTTGGCAGGGAAATCACTATGATGTGCAGAGTAGGGAGCACTCCAGGACCAGGGTAAGGAACCACTACTATAGAGCATGTGTATGCAGCTTTGGGGAAAAAAAATCTAATTACAATATTGCAAAAATAACAGAAATTAAATTGATATTTAAATAAAACATATGGTAACACAAGTCCTTGGAAGACTTGAGGCTGAAGTCCGCAGATTCAACGTAGGCTCATTAAAACATCATGGCAGGCCACAGTAATATTCAAATTGTGATGATAGAAAACACTAACACTTTTTTTTGTTGTTAGATGTGCAGGTCTCAATATGTAGAGATAAATGATGCTCTAACACGAGATGCGTGGATCCCCTGTACCGCTCAGTCCCATCTCAACAACTACTATGAACACAGTCAGTCTGTGTGGCTAAGGGTACGTACTGTAATTCAAGGAGGATTTGTAAAAGTGAGAGAGAATAGAGAGCTTGAGTGAGCTCATTTTAGTTTGTCTTCTGGGCTTGCTTGTTTTGGTAAGGTGGGATTTGAGAGGCCTGGAGTAGCAGCCTCTGTCCTCATCTATCTGGCCTATGATGGAGGACTGCATGGACAACACTGCAGGAGAACAGTATCTGTACAACTGTGCGACACCGTTGGCAAAAACCACACACTCGGTACAAACATACAGGCCAGCATAAAATCAAGACTATCGTACCAAACATATCATATTTATTGTTTTGCAATAGTATAAATATTTTTTAGGTCAAATAGGTAAAATATCTTTTAAATTTAAAAAATTGTATTGGATTAATATTTACATTTATATTTAAATAACTCAGTATGATAAGTAAAATCTTGATTTTTGTTGCTGTTGTGCCTTTTGCCATATTTACATTGTATTCTTTTACTTGTGTGTGTGTGTATAGGTACCTACGGGCTGTCGTGCCAGCGCAACCCACTGGTGGTAAATGTGACTCACAACTTGAGCCTGCCATTTTTCCAAACAGCCGCAGTGCTGCTGAACTTCTCTACAGCCCATGTGGCGGTGCTGGGGGTCGCCCTGCGTACGTCCTGCCATTTCAGCGCCTTCACCCTGACTGGGTGCGCTTAGGGTGTGCTCTCCCACGCCTTCTCACACACACACACACACACACACAGAGCACTTAAGATATAATGCAAGTAGGGCCCATTTTAGTGATAGTTTGATTAAGCCTAGTCGAAACTGCAATGCTAATGCTGTGTCCTAATTTAAAATCCTATTTAGCTTATTCTAAGTTTCAATCTGGGTCTGGAAACCAGTGAGTAGATGCTCAGACTCAACTGAATAAGCTTATGAAGGGCTTAAATTAGCTGATAAGTTGAATTTGGTGTGTGATTAGTAGTATGAAGTCTCCAGGACTGGGATTTGGAAGCACTTCTCTGGAAGCCATTGGATAGAAGTTATCTAACGACCTTCCTCTTTGTCTGTGTATCAGGTGTGTGCACAGGCCCTGTAGCATAGGCTTGTGCAGTGCTGTGAATGTAGATCACGCTTCGGTCAACTGCACTCCCAGCCCAGACCCCTTACGCTGCTCTGTCGCCTGTCACCATGGATACACACTCAGTGTGCTTAGTGGTCCAGGCCTTCGTCATCAACAGGTGTGTACAAAGCTTTCTCTCTCTCTGATGACCCTAAAAAACCATTAGCGGTGGTTCATATCATGTTCGAATTGCAATGCATAAGCAATAAACTTTGAATATTTGTTTATCCCAGGGGTCCCTAGGTCTGGTCCTACAGATCAACCACCGTAGAGGGTTTAGTTCTGATATTCTTGACAGACACGCCTGATGGCCTTGATTGACTGGATCGGGTGTGTTAGATAAGATTTGGAACTAAACCTTACAGAGCAATAGATCACCTGGACTAAAATTGGTGGATCCAAGGGTTTAAAAATAAAACTGGTACACAGGGTTCTGGTATTTTATTTTTTAATTTTAAATATTTTTGTGTGTATTAAACTTATGTCAAACTAAGAGATTAACATAATGCATCTCTGTTTTAATCCAGAAGATGGTGCTGTTTATGTCAGTGGCATCGTTGTTATAAACAGTTAGGTAGTGCAGTGGATAACACTCTTGCCTCATTTGTGGAAGAACTGGGTTTAACCCACCTTTTAAGCAGGAATCAAAAACACTACTATAATACAGAAATGAGAATCATTGAGTAAGATCCCTAACATTACAATCACCTGCCTTGGTCACAAATAAAAGCATTTTTGAATGTCTAAGAATAAAGTCTGTTTTGATTGTTGTTTGTCTACTTCACAAATAAAAGTATCTGTTAAATATTTAAATGTTATTTAGAATGTTGGTTTGACTTAGCATCACATTTTCTTTTGGAGAAATGAGGACTGTAGCGATTCCCACCCCTAGTGGACCCACTACAAATAGATACATTCAGTTCCTCACTTTCATAAATACAGAAATTATGTATTAGTTTCACAGTAGTTACTGAGTAAGTCAGTAGCTACTGACTGATAAGTCCTAGAATAACTACTTTAGTAATAAGCCTAGGTTTTAACACTTTCATTGGCTGTGACACCTTTAGAAAGACAGAACATAAGCGTGTCTCCTTGTCTGTGTCTCTGTTTCATTCTCTCTCTCCTGACCCCAGAGAGAGACAGATCTGAGCTGTGAAAATGGTGTTTGGGACCGTGGGGTCACCTGTAAGCTGGTGGATTGTGGCTTTCCCGATGAGTCACACGTCTACTTTGCCTCCTTCTCCTGCCCCTGGGGCACCACCTTCGGCAAGCAGTGCACTTTCTCCTGCAACTCCCCCGCCATCCTGCAGGGTAACAGTCTCAGCCTTCACACTGTGCACAACTTTGAGGCTCCATAGCTTCTGTTTTTGGTGCATATTCCATGTATTCTCTGCATAATTTTGTGTATCCCCAAAGTTTATGTCTGCTTTTGTTTAGCTGGGGAATTAGGAATGAGTGTGTGTGTGTGTGTGCGTGTGTGTGTGGTGGATGGTGCGTCTACTTGGCGGACGCCCCTGGTCACCTTCCAGATGCCCCTTGCCTCTGACTGTGTAAACAGGAAAGCGGGGCTGGGACGACCGTAGGAGGGCAGCACGCAGGTGGAGAGAGGAAACAGGACAAGAACAAGAGCGCGTTTCAGTCTATGTACTACAGCAACCCTCAGAGAGGCACTCACTACCAACAAACCCTGAACAGCCTGGCAGTGAGCCCCCCACCCCCCTTTACTCTGTCCAGGGTGGCCCAAGGGTCAGCTGGACCCTCCGCACCCTCTGGCTCCATGGCCCAAACGAAGTGCTCAGATAGACGAGCCTAGGTTTCTCCTTCTGGCGAGTTGCAGAGCAGACTGTGGTCAGTGGGTTCTCATGAAGCATGAGCGCGTTGCATCACTGAGCAACTATGCTTATTGGTCTTGATGGCAAGACTCTTCTTGGTTTTGGTACTGAAGCTCCCTATTCTCATATGCTGTAATATACACAAAGGCGTTAGTACTGTCAGTTTCCTTGGGTCTTTTGAACCCTATTGATGAATTTAAGGTCAATTGCTTTGAGCAAGTACTGTAATTAATATGTTAGTGGTTTTGAGAGTAGTGCTAGCTGTTTTTTTTTTTATGTGTTAGAAAAATGCAATGGACCATTTGGAGCCATTTTTGGAGCTGCTAAATTTGCCTGCAGCTACAAAGTGAGCTGCGGCTTTGTATGCCTTAAAAAAAATAGTAAAAAAAAATAGTTTGCAAAAGAGGTCCATTATATTTTTATTGGCCAATAAAATTGCCTAAGAATTTTTTACAAATTCTAATTAGATATATTTTATCATACCACCATCATATGGCTTCAAGCACATTTTAGGCGTATAAACCACATAAGGTGTATGTTAGCATGAAGTGATTTGGCATTCATTAGCTTTTAATGAAAACAGCTTCGCATTTCAATTAAAACTGATGCGCCTTTTCCAGAGAAGATGGTTTTGTAGAATGGCCTTTTAATTTCTTTTTTAATATGTGGGTTTTAATTTTGCAAAGGTGAGAGTGATACGTTGGCCTGCCTTGAAGATGGGCTGTGGTCCTTCCCTGAAGCATATTGTAAAATCGAGTGCCTGGATCCACCAGTCATTCCCAATGCAAAACTCTTGCCCTCCCAGTGTGAAGGCAGCAGGCATGATGTGGGCACTGTGTGCCGCTACAAATGCAACCCTGGTTACTATGTCACTTCCCTGAGCAAAAAACCAAGAAAGTAAGTACTTACTGCTCTGTAACACTTACTCACACGTGTGTTTTGATCAGTTGTTTGTGTATGCATTATCTTTTTCAGTATTATGATATTGAGTATACCTCTGGAGGGTATGTCTGTGTGGATTCTGCATTAGGTTTTGAAGCTGCTGTGTTGACAAATGCTACAAACAAAATGACTTTCTTCTCCTTTTAAATCATCCATGTGTTTCTAGAATGAAGATTTAGATGTAAGTCTTTAAATATCCATCGAATGGAGCCAGCTCTGTGTTTCTGGATGTATAAATTGACAAATGGCATGTGGTTGAGCAAATTTATCTTGGTTAGATAAAGGTTAGACAGTGCAGCTTAGCACCATTTAAGAAGGTCAAAGGGGGCCAGCATGTACACCTGCCATAGCTTTATGGGTTATTAAACCAGCTGGTAAAATATATGAATATCTCTTAAGTACTTTTAATTGGCCATTCATACTAAAAGTGATAGCCAGCAGGTCTAATAAATGTTTTTCAATGCCCTTGTTTATTAATACCTTTGACATGTTAGCTCTAAAAGGCATTCCATTATGAGAGTACAGCTTAGTGTTTATGACTCTTTCAAGAGGAGTGTTTTGCAATAATCAAGGCAGGTACCATTTTTGCTTCTGTGGGTTTTTCACTAGTAACAGTTCTGTATGAGCCAGGGCTTGATGGTTTGTCGCTTGAACTTGACATGAATCTACCCAGAGTGCTCACTGTGCTGGAGTGTATATCATTCGCTTGGTTGTCATTTTGCGCATTGTATCGAAATGTTATGAGATATTAAAAGTAGAGGCTGGTGGCAAACTGTGACATCCTGTGTGTAGTCCCATTCCTAGGTTTAATAAAATTGTATGCTGTGCTCTGATGTTAAGTATAGTGTCTGCAAGTACTTTGTTTTGCTCTCTTTGTGGAGACCAAATGTTCCCACGATGATAGTAAAATGTAGAATTATGACCTCATGGACATTTGTTGGTCCCCATTACAAATGCTTCAAAAAACTAAATAGGCTTTTTGTTAGAGGGTTAAAGTTAGTGTTAAGTGTAGACGCAGTAGTATTTAATTACAAAAATACATGTCAATGGAACATGTCATAATTATAGTAACAAAAGTGTGTGTGTGTGTGTGTGTGTGTGTGTGTGTGTGTGTGTCAGGAGATTTCTGAGGCTGGAGTGTTTAGAGGGAGGCAGGTGGCAACAGGGTGGTTGTTCCCCTGTCTCATGCCCTGCTCTGCCTGCCATGTTTGAGGGCATGTACACGTGCACCAACCACCTGGACTTTGACAGTGTTTGTACTCTACACTGCCCGGATGCTAGTGAGAGGGTAAATACGGATTGTCTACCATGCAATTATTCCAGCACCTCTCACTTCTTTTTCTAATGTTTCACTCTTTTCTAGTGCTTCTAGAACATTTAGAATTAAACCATCTTTATGTAATTCAACTTCGATCAACGGTCAAAAATGATTTATCGCAAATTATCTTTTTCTTGTTTTGTTATCCATGTAGTATACAATTCGATGTACCAAAGATGGCAGGTGGACTGAAGACTTCTCCATGTGTGAGAAGATTGAGGGAGCTTGCCAGGCCCCTCCAGAGCTCAACTTTGTAGAGTACACCTGTGATGATGGTTATGGTGTAGGTGAGGTGTAGTTTTAAGCAGAGCTAAATTTTGGTTCTTCTCTTTGATTAATATGGCAAAACCATCTCGTCAACTACTTGATTTATTGCAGCTTTAGCCCCTTAAAAATTACAGGCTTATCATATACTGATGCTTATTATTCAGTAACTACATGAAGTACAATGCAGACAGGCTAAGTTATTCTTAGGTTATAGAAATGTGTAGTAATACTTTGGACCTGCTGGTGGATACTGGCTATTTAAGAGGTTAAATCAATATTGACTTCATTGACATTAGAGCTACCATCACAAAACATTCAGTTTTATTCAACATTCAAATTAGTTACCTAGGCTTCGCTTCTGTTGGAACCTGCAGCCTATTTACATTGTTTTGTGAGGAATAATTACTGTGTTTGAGTTATGGTTTGTAGCATATTAAAAGGTCTAGACATGCTTGGGAAATAAGACTACAGTCAAGTTGCACATGGTAGAACACTTTGCGTGCTCACCTGCCAAGCTGTCGAGCCACGGATGACCAGTTCTGAGCCTGGCCACATTTTTTTTTCAATGTGTTCATATGAATATATTCAACAGATGCAAATGAAGGCTTGAGCAAAGCTTGCTTTGTGTCACGGCAGGTGCGGTCTGCTACCCAACATGCATTGTGGCCTTGAGTGACCCTGTGGTGTTGGCCAGTAATTCCACAGCTGATACTCTCAAACACTGGGTCCTGCCCACTAAGGTTCAGGTAAGGTAATGGGGGGTTTCACCACACCATGCTATTAGATTTTCCTGTAAGTCCTAAACACTCTCCAACTAAAGTCTTTGTGTCCTCTGCATACACACCTTTCGTACACAAAACATGAAGATCAGCTCAGACCACACCAATACAAGTGCTTTGACTAGGGTCCAAGCTTCTTCCTGCAAACTGACTTCCCTGCGTAAAAGCATTGCAAGGGATCCCCTTGTGAAAGAGAAACATGCCTCAAAATATGCCCTTACAAAATGCTCTGAGAAATATGCCTTGGAAAAAGCCCTTAGAATCTGGGGGAAGTTGAGATTAAAATGTATTTCTCCCCAAGAAAGCCTTCTGCTTCATATTCCATGGCTTGAGATCTGTTTGACAGCAAGGTAATGTAAAATGCTAGATCTTTCTTTAGGTGGACCCTAAGTGGCTTTACACTGAATAGTTTAGAATCAAGCTGATGTCCAGAGTTATATTATTGGCATATCTGAGTGATAAGCTGGCCTGGTTTGCCCCGTGTCTTACTCTAAATTGTTGCTCCGTTGTCTTTTGGGAGGGAAAAGGTTGACCCCATTTTTTCATCTCCACACCAATTTGTAATAGTGGTGGTTTGGGGGAACTGTTTATACAGGAGACAATTAAAATGCCACACACCAAGCACTGAGTTTCTCAAGGTGTCAGGCTTTTTTGCAGTGTTTATAACTATACTTCAGCGCCCTTACGTAGATTGTGCTTTCCAGGAACAGTGTCCAAACTCTTGCAGATTGGGCAAGAGCAGTGGAGGAAAGGTCAAGGTAGGAGGGAGATGAAGTGGAGATAAGGGACTGACTTCCAAGAATTTAATGGCGAAACTTCCCCAGGAATGGATCTGATTTGCACATGTGGGAATGAATAGCAGTTTCACATCAAATCAATGAAATGCCTTTTCAAACAAGACAGACAGGGAGAGAGCCAGTGATTGAAACACTTCGTTTCCTGTTTATTTTCCAGGTTTTTACCAGGTTTTTATTATCTTATTTGTGCATGTACAGTTAGTACAGTTTGTTTCAATCTTGGAATTGAAACTATGACACATTTCTGGACATCTGAACAGTTTAGTTGACAGTAATAAATTACAAGTTCTTGTGCAGTACTGATGACTACTAAAGCAATAAGCCACGAGAGGCCATGCGTTACTGCAATTTTATCACAGGGAACGGTGTTCTTTGGCACAACATGAAGCAGGGTGTCTTCATGCAAGGGCATGAACGCAGATGCTTCAAGCTGTGCGTTCTGAGTTTTGTGTGTAGTTGCATTCAAAAGTGTGTCATGATGCATTTCATAACGTAACGCAAATGCGAGCTGCGTTCTTACAGCTTACAGCCGCTATACCTACAGCCAAGCCTGTCCAAGCGGTCTTGTATCACCAGTGTGATTTCCCAACTGCCGTAACAGATGAGCAGTTGAGTCTCACGCAAAGATGGTTTACATAAAATCCTCTATTGCCCCCTTCAGTACTGAGTGTTTTAACCGCCACAGTAACAGAAGGACCAAGTTGGCCGAGCACTGTCATTTGCATTCTTGTGCTTACGTTGAGTATGCTTCTGGCGTAAAACTCCCTTCCCCATGATAAGAATCCAATGGCGCCCCACTTCTCATGCTGGGGCTGAATCTCAAATGGCTCCCTGCATAGTGCACTACGTAGGAATTTAAGTACTGGCTCCTGCCCCCCAGCAGTGCATAATATAACTAAAAATGGTCATTAAAAATAGTAATTTGCGATTCAGCCACATACATACTCAAATAGTGCACTATTTGGCTGTAGAAGCTAGAATTTTAAAACCTCTGTAGATAGCGCACTATTTAGGGAGTACGAAGGCGTTTGGGATTCAGCCTGGGTTTGATGTGACTTCTGACTGAAACACAGATGTTTGAAGTGTGTAAGCCATTCTGGTGACATTCTTTAGTCTTTTGTATTGCAGGTTTACAGTGAATCATATCGTAAGTACTTTAATTCAAGCCTGTGATGTTAATGATGAAGTTGTGTAGGTTGTTGGCTATCTTTTAGCCTCTTTTAGCTAGCTGACCAGCCTAGTTCTAGTTAAGAAGATAAGCTGTAAGCCCTTCAGTTTAAACAAAAACAGGTTCTTACATCAGTAGACACAGTGGTCCATGCGAGCAGCATTAGATTAAAAGATTGTTCCATTAACAGCACAAGGATATTTTGTGTGAAGTGGCAGTAATACAGAGTTCAGTTGTTGTGATGCAGTCATAGGTGTGCGTATATCGTGTATTTTACAATGGCTTCAAACACAGCTCAGCCAATCAGATTTTAGGACCGGAACTATCCATTTTATAATTTTTACAATATACTAAAATACCATCGCTGTCCAATAAAAAATGTGTCTTCGAAAAAGTAACTTTAAAGGAGATGTCAAAAACATTCTTAACTTATATTGTAGCATTTTGGAGAATTTCAGTTGGTCCATTCATCATGAAATTTTCACGCAATGTAAAGGACAGCTAACACATTCAAATGATGTAGAAAAATAAAAATAGACAAAAATGGAGATACATGCTTTTCTGGACAGTGTCAGTATGATAAATGGATACTAAAGGAAACTCTCTGCCTCTTTTCTCTCTTTGTATGTTTATGTTTGTGTGCATGCAGAGCATTGTGTGTACAGGCACAATGAGTTGGCATCCAAACCCGAAGCAAATCTACTGCATTCAGTCCTGTGAGGTAAGTATTGCTTGGCAAAAGTTTGCACGGTATTTGACCAGAACACAAATGGCATTCTCACTTCCTTACTGGGAGCAAACTTCATTGTTCAAGGTTCATGAAACTCCACAGCAGTCAGAGACTGTAATTAACTGGTGCCGGAACACCAATATTGTCTCCTTCATTTTTGACATTAAATTCGATTTGGAAAGATTTTCACTTGGGCCTAATCTCTGCTGGCTGTTTATTGCCCTGGTATGTCGACTGTGCCATGAGGAACTTGATGAATAATGGTAGTTTCCACATCTGCTCCTTGTCAGCTTGAGAAGAATGAGTACTCTGACAGAGTTCTACCAGCTCAATGTGAAGGTGGTCCCCCACTGCTGGAGAGGCCCAGAGAAGATCATAATCAGCCATGAGCGATAAGGCAGTTGTTGATTGTTTTAGTCTAGAGAGCCAATGATGTGGTCAGTAGGACTCACTAGCCAAGAGAGAGAAACTGCTTTTCACCCTACAAAAAGAGCATAGCTGAAATTCTGTGAGTCTATGTGAACACATTCAATGAAAAGACAGCTCCCAGAGCAAACTTATACAACCCTTTAGGGCACTGTTATAATCAGAGGTGAGTGGAGTAGCCCAAAATAAGTAAAGCTCTTGTTACTTCTATGAAATAATAACTAAAGTAAAAGTGAAAGTAGTGTACCAAAAACAGCTCGATTAAAAGTTCTCCTTAGAACTCTCCTTGGAATTCGTTTCTGTACATCTATCGGCACAGGAACTGAAATTTGTTAGATCCTGTTCTTTTCTTTCGGTCTAAAGCTTAAAAGTGAGAAGTGTGAGCAACAGCAAAGCAGTCCGGTGCAGTCATTAACAGAACAGAATAAAATCCATCATTTAAGTATCATTTGAAGATACTCAGCAAAGAACAAATCCACCAAATCAATATGAATAAACATAGGTCGGTTTACTCCTGGTTATATTGTGCTTAAGCTAAGTAAATAGAGTGGATAACTTTTTTATGTTCAGCTGCTAAGAGAATGCAGCCATTTTAACTCACTGGAGCCCAGACTTGAGAAGAAGAGAGAGAAAATGATGTGAGTTTTCATAGTAAGGAGTGATACGTCACCCACAAAAGTAGTATGGCTGGCAGAAAACCTTTTACCTAATGATTTTAGTAGTGGCCATTTATGAATTATTCTGTATATTGATGCAGATGGTGCAGGCAGTGAGGCGCTTCTTAGCCAAAGGAGTTCCCACATCATCTACTCTCAGATGTCTTTGACATTGCTCACAGCCAAAAGAAACACTCAGCAGTAATGGGCAGTGAGACCCAGGTTGCGTTTCCCCCTCCGCTCGCTGACTGACTCAAGCGCGTCTCTGCGGAGGCTGCTTTATCAGAGAGTGAAAGCGCTGTGAAGAGATCTGCACAACTGCAAAATGTGGTTTATATATGAGCATAAAACATACAGTTCAGCCCTCACTTCCTCCCTCTTTCAACCCACAATTCATGGAATCCTGTTCACGGTCATCCAAAGTACTAACTCTTCGAGGGCTGCTGACAAGCCCGGCGCTGAGGTGCCAAGGTAAACGTATGATCTGATTGGTGTGCGCAGGTCAGTTGGACGGGGGGAATTTAAAGGAAGTCCTGGAACCAGTGACCATATTAAATCAGTCACTACAAAGTGCAAATGGTCTTCAGTGCAGAGATGAGACTAGCATATTTGCCTGTTGTGAAAAGGTGGAACCGTTTGATGCCTTTTGCTCATTTGATGTCTTCATAATTTGGGTTAAACCTGTAAAATGTTTTTTATCTGTAAAACTGATGAAGGTAACTGTCATTTTGAGAATATAAATAACGACTGTGTTACACAGAGAGAGCTCTATGGCAGTTTTGGCAGTCACTTTTTTAGTTGCTGGCTGGGATATGAAAAGTACTTATCTAAGGAGTAGAAACCTGGAGTGGCGTTTGGTACAGTATGACATTCCACAAAAATAAAGTGGCAGAGACAGACAGAGGTTTGCCGATGCAACTGAGTTTTGTTTCCACCAGTCCAGTGGTGTTGCCAGTAACATCTTTATGAGGCCTTTATTCCTTGAAAATAATCTTTGGTAAATATCAACAAACAAAAATGGTTGAAACATTTGAATTCTTGCACCTGCCGATTTTTCCAGGCCGAAGGCCTATAGTATCTGACTGAGTAGTGGACAATTTTCACACCGTACGAACTTTTCTGAGAGACTCGAGAAGAAATGCGGTGAGGTATGAAGTTATTTTTCTAAACACAGAGGGAGAGCGTTAGAAGATTTGCAAAATATCAGAACAGTTGTTTGAGGTGCTCACAGAAAGTAATAGCACCTCTGAGCCTTGCATTACTGATATATGTTAAGGCCGAATTATGCATGTGCAAACCTGCGAACATGTGAACATATGCAGGGTCATGTGCAAACATTCGTATAGATGTGTGAATATGAAAATGAGCAGTAGAGGGCAGTATCCAAGGCAGAATGTACAGAAAATGAGAAGACAGAACAACGAGAAGAAAGTCTTGTGATGCATTAGTACAGGAGGTACAGGATGTGAAAAAGGAGAATATAGTTATTTAGTCTATAATTTTTTGTATTGTTTGCGTCTCATCACACCCCCAGTGCTACCGAATAGCCAAGTAGCATTTGTTTAATGCACAACCGCGCAGATTTGCACAAGGCCTAGTTGAGATTATAGAGGTATGAATGCTGTGACCTGTGTGAGCCTCTGCAAGCTACACTTACCTGTGAACCCCTTCTCTGAGTCTTGATGCAGATAAGTTTATGTACATCTTCACAGAAGACTAATCAGCTTTTACACTTCCAACTATGGTATGTCTAGAAATGCGGCTGACTGTGTTACTTAATAAACAAGAAAAGACCAGTCTCACTGCTCACGTACAAAGTAAGACCAATCTGACATTAATGTGATAGTATCTGAATGCCGAATATTTAATATTCCCCTCGCAGCATACTGAAACATACAACAATCTGGTATGGGTTGTATCTCTGAAAGAATCAGTGCCAGGCCTCATGTACATCAGAGAAGGCATGTGCTATACTTGACTTTGCAGATTTGTGATAATGTAGTGTCCATGAATAAACACAGAGACAATGAAAAGTACAATCTGAGTAAAAAGTAGAACAAATAATTTTATTTAATTATAAATAATCTTTATTAGCATCTGAAATCAATTATTGTGAACAGAGGTCAAAATATTGCCAAGAAACAAACTATTATGACCCTTTGAAAGCAGTGTTTCTGATATTAATGCCAAAAAAACGATGTCTATGTATGTTGTTTGTGATATTATTTCAGAATAAAGCAGGCTGGTTTCAGGTAGTATTCATTCTATTTTAACATTGTCTGGAATTATCTATGGAGCACATCATCTCAGGAGAGATGTGTTATGATATTAGAAGAATTCCACCTACTTGCCAGACCCCTATTTTTTCCTCTGTGTTGCCTTTGCATGTTGCTAAGCAAAACAATTGCTTTTAACTAGATACTCCATGATGACATTATAAAGTATACCAGTGCAGCACATGTTGTAAATGCATTGCACCAGAGCTTATCCAGATGCTGCTTCATGTAATAGGCTAGTGATATGTAAAAGGGTGGGGGCAGTTTGGCAGGCTTTTTTTTTCCTCCAAATCCATATTTTGGTTGGCAACCCTTAGAGTAAAGGACAGCCCTGGAGCCCTGCTGCAAATCTTAAGTCTCAAGTAGAGCAAATTTCCTCTGAAATTCATACATTCAATTTAAATAAGAGAATTCCCACTATTGAACCATGATGGCATCGTCCATAAAGAATCTTCAAGGGCTTTATCTGTGTTTGCAGTTTAAACAAGGCATTGTAACAGACTGATGACCATTGGTGTTTCTAGGATAGACATGTCAAATATGAGTGTTTTCGCTGTTTTAGCACTTTGGATGAAACTCATGAAGGCCTTGCTAATTAGCTGATGAGTTGAATCAGGATTGTTTAATGAGGCAGAAATCTGTGGCCTGTTAGTGCTGTGGCTTGCTATGGCTGGAGTGTTCTAGTAGTTGAAAATATTTTGGGTTTAAGCCAAAAGACCAGGGGCCCACCGGGCTGTAACATTTTTAACAACATTTTCATCTATAGGTATAGTATATGGCAAAAGTATGTGGACAGCACTCCTAATTATTGATTTCAGGTGTTTCAGCCACATCCACTGCTAACAGCTCTAAAAATCCAAGCACATAACCATGTAATCTCCATGCTGGCAGTAGAATGGGTTTATTTGAGTTTGTGAAATGTCTGCCTGGCTAGATCTGCTCCAGTCAACTGTAAGTGCTAATATTGTAAAATTTTGTGAAGCATCTAGGAGCAACAACAGCTCAGGAATGAACCAGTATACACCATGAAAAGTGGCTTGTCGGATCTACTTAAAAAAAAAACTTTGTGGTAAGAAGTAAATTAACAAGTTTTATTCAACCTAAATAAATACGTTGAATGAATAATTCTTTCAATCAGTGTAGTATTGTAAGTTGAATAAAACTAGTTTAATTGCTTGTAGCCACATGAAGTAATTTTTTTAAGTAGATCTGACGAGCCACTTTTTACAGTGTACCATGAAAACTCATAGAGTGGGGCCACTGAGTGCCGAAGCGTGCAACATGTAAAAATCACCTATCCTCTGTTGCATCACTCACTACAGAGTTCCAGACTGCTCCTGGAAGAAAACATCAGCACAAGAACTATGCATTGGGAGCTTCATAAAATGGGTTTCAATGTCCAAGCAGCTGCACACAAGCCTAAGATCACTATGCACAATGCCAAGCATCAGAGTTGTAAAGCATGCCACCACTGGACAATGGATGCATGGTTTCTGGAGTGATGAATCATAGTTCACTGTCTGGTGGTCTGATGGACAAATCTGGATTTGGTGGATGCCAGGAGATTGCTTCCTCTCGGAATGCACAGTGCCAACAGTAAAGTTTGGTGGAGGAGGGTAATGGTGTAGGGCTG